CGGCGAATAATGATATGGCGGATCTGAGATGTAGTGCTGGTGCCTTCTCGGGCATTGACATTGATGAGTGCATCGTCAATAAACTGCAACGGGTATGAGATGCAAAATAGACGCGTTCGGAGGTTATCTCACCCCATGCTTTACTTTGTCGTTCACCCTTCCCATGATACTAATTGCGATGGTTAGCCCTTGAAGCACGAAGTCCAGTTTGCGAGCCACTTACGCAATGACGATGTCCTTCGCCCCGACCAAAAAATGGTGACGCTCCACTGGCAAGGGCTTTCCTCCTCCGAAAAGTCTGGAGAACGGGTTGGACCAAGATGACCCACGCGAAGCCAAAGGCTCTTCTTCTACATGTCTGGCGAATAAGATGTTTTGCCGCCTCCTTTAAAAGACGGGGCTTACTTGGGGTGATTTTTATTCGACGCGGGAACATGGTTCTGGACCATATTTTCTGCCGAATAAACTGGTAAAGCTTGGTCTCTAACGTATCCTGTACGGCTGCCATCAATGACACTAAGTCAGTCAGGTGTTTCCATTGATCTTCAAGGGCGACACGAAAACTCACTGTGGAGCTGTAGCGTTCGTGGCATTATTCGTGGTCCTGTATTCCCCTGAAGAATTTGCGGAAACTCTGATGACAACGCTAGCGAGTTACTACTCATGATGCGTCAATCCCAAGTAAGCAAAACTGACTGAGGCGGGTTATTGCGAAAGTGACGCGACATGGCTATCTATTTCGAGAGGATATATGGGAATCAAGAGAGAGATCGTGGACCTAGGTAGGATGCCACCCTGTGGCTATTAGTACAAAGACTGGAAAGAGGATGGACGACGGGCGTGTAGACCATGCACTAGGAACCACGGGTTCGTCGTTTGGTGATGTGCATGTTCACAGCCACATCGTCGCAAATTTAAAAACATGGATGGCACGAGGATTGTCAAAGGACTGTCGTGTTACCAGGAAAAGCTAAGTAACTACCATAGAAGAGGGCTACAGTCAAACTGCTCAATCAAGTTTATTTGAACCCATCAATTGCGTTCGGCTTCTCCCGCCTTATCTCAGGTGGTGCTCGCAGACATGGGAACCACAGAATTTATAAGAAATTGGGTTGAAACTTCAAACAACCCACGAACCTTGCCTCGTTGGACTCTGGATGCCGAAAAACCCCCTACAACCAGAAGTATTAAAACAGGTGCGTGCACAACTCCACGAACGTGAGTGTATACCTTGCATCGGCCGCCCGAGGGTTGCTGGCGGGTCGATTCAGTAAATGACTCCATGCATGTGTGCGGAAACGTGTTAAACACAGGTACGAGGTCTGCATCAATATATAGATAGCGCACCAACTCCCGTGGTTTCAATGTACTTCGGACACCCAGCTATCTTCGAACATGAAAGCACGGAAGGGGGTTCATACTTACGAGAGAGTCTGGTTGCAAGACGGAGCACTGCCTGATCCCCAATCATACGACATCGTCATTCCGTGCGTCTCTTTCTGTTACCCAGGCCTCTCATGCTAAAATGCCTAGCGAACAGACTGCTGGGTATCCAGGGAAGCGGCAAGAGCACGGTGAATCTTCCTGACATACCGCGTTATAAATCAGTTGACACTTCAAATTTACAGCTCATCAACACCCTCACGAATGGCATAGCCCAACTTGCCATCGGTCACGATATTGATCCTTGCACACAGGCTGTTCAAGCTGTTCCTGTAGCGCATCCAGGCTCACCAACCCATCGCATCGTTTTTCTCGACACGCCCGGACTCGACAGTACAACTTCCCCAGACAGCGAGATCCTGGAACGTATTGCCGCTTGGCTAAAGAAATCGTCGGTACCACCTCACTGCCGTACTACGAACTAACACTCATCCTTCTACTTAGCTATCAGGATGGGATGAAACTTGCAGGTGTCATATACCTGTGTGAAATTTCCCAGACACGCGATTTATCTGCGGCTCGGAAGAATCTCGATCACTTTGAAAAACTGTGTGGCGACAGAGGCACAAAGAATGTCATCCTCGTGACCACGAAATGGAGTTCTCCTCCTTCGGATTTTGAGATGAAGAGAGAGACAGACCTGCGGGCACCTGCCCACTGGGGGCACTTGGTCCGGCGCGGGTTCAGAATGCGCCGTTTAGAGGATGCATCCTCTGACTGTGCTTGGTCTCTCATCCATTTCAGCCTCGCAGACGCATTCACTTTCGACACCCAGAAGATCAAGGATGACCTCGCAGGCATGAGGGAATCGCTTAAGAAGAGAGACAGACAGTTGATTACGACATTGGAGGAACTTCTGTTGTCCCAGAACAACATGGCGCTGGAGCTGAAACGCGATGAAGGTCTGAGCGACGTTCTTTGGAATCAGCTCGTAGCAAATGACCGCCGTCTTCGCGATACCCTCCGCCAAATAGGAACAAAAGTTTCTATATCACAGAAAGTCAAGGCATTTTTCAAATTCTTTGTGAGTCTAATTTGACCCTGGTCGTTCTGAAATACTGATCAGTCAGATATAGTGAACTGCAAGTGGTACGGGTTCTCGCGGTTACGGGTATGGGTCGGCCTTGTGGTACCCTCGAAAACCCGCGGGTTACCAGTCAGATGCTGGTGATATCTCCTACTGTTTATACAATTTACCAGAGATAATACATATACTTTGTAAGCCGAGGCTGCCGCTACAGCCCCATATTTTCTTACTCTGCAGTGTCTCACAAACCTCATATTTCATACCATTTGTCATATTATCCTTCGAATTAGTTCATTTAGCCAATCTAGACTTCGCGCAATGCCTACAATACACACAGTCGCCTCCACCTCTAGAGCTCTGGACCGCGCGCAGGCCCCCACCCGCCCGTTACCTACAGTCTCATGACACAAACACGACGTCCCATTCCCCTCTAGACATAGCCCACATCATTTTTACCTCGCCGCCCTCGAGCTGGATGAACCTTAGGCTTGGAGTTCATCGCGAGAATGGTCGGCAAGCTCTGGCAAGCTCCGCCCGCGCTTTTACTTGATGTGCTTCTGTTCACCTATGCCCATCGGCGTGCCCATCGCTGAAATTTCAGCTTCCTCGTAGCAAGATATACCTCACTAAGATTTACACGAACAATGACGAAGATTCATTTATGGTGGGGTTTCGAGAATTCCAAATGTCCGGGATGTGCAGCGTCTAGCGGGTGGTATGACACTCTGTAGTAAGGTCAGTCAATTGCTCTGCTCTTATCTTTATCTCACTCAAAAACCGCTTTTTCAGAACAAAACCGTAGAGTAGTACGCAGCTTACCAAGCCACAATTTAGAGCAGTACACCCCTCTTCCCCGACATCAGAGAACTGACGCACACAACGTTGACAACGGCAAAGTTAATTCCATATATCCTACCGTGACTCGCCGCGGGGCATACTTTGGGAACTCGAGGACAGAGAGCCATATTCACGAGGCTGCGAGTGGATGAGCCTGCGGTGCTTCGCACCACTCTGCCTTTCATCAACACCACCCGGTCGTTCATGGTCTTACGCAAAGACAAACTCAGGCTCCAGTGTGGGCAGGGGATGTTGCCGCTCTCCGCGACGCTGCACTTTGAAATCGATCATCTAGGGGGCCTTGAGGGCAGGCACGGGGTGGGATGTTGAGGACGGTGGTGGGAAGGAGGAGAGCAAAGCAACAATATCGAGCGCGATCGTGGCCGTGCGTGGCCTACATATATGTTCATCATCTATCGAAATGTGAGTACACCTCTTCTTAACGTCAAAAAGAATCCTACCTCACTTTTTCTGTGTCTGGGAAGAAAGCTCGTGCGTGGATCATCATCCTCTGGCCTTGGCCCTTTGAACGCTCAACGTCGATCTTGAGTGCCATCGCGTGAGTTCTCCTCCACTTCTTGATCATTTTACCGTCTCTTTTCCCCTGGGACACTCTTAACTATCATCTGTGCTGGGAATGAGGAGACAGGGTGTGTGCCCCATCTGTGGTGTCACTCGCTACGGGGCAAAATCGAGGCTTCCGGAGTTCTTGGGCGCGGGACTGGAAAGCGAGGCAGGTTCACGACGGTACGAGCGCTCGACTTTGATATCGAACAACGTAGGGCTCCAGGACAGGCAAGACATTTGTGTTATTCATCCAGCTGAGGTTGAGGACGGCAGACACATCAGAAGTGTTGAATTTGATACCCAATTTGCTGCGGGTTTGGATAATGGTGGTGAAGAGGAGCGCAAAGGCGGTGATAAGAGTGGTGAAAGACTGTTCCTCGATGGCGTCGATCTCGTTACGGGTGATTTTCCCATCCCACAGCACACGGGCAGATGGGATAAGAGTGAAGAAGTTCTGAATGTAAATAGCAGCGCGCACACCGATACCAGTGATGTCTGGGTCGGAAGGGATGCAGTATACCATGATGGGTAAGAGGGTGAATGCCAATAAGCGCCGTAGCGACACATCTATTTTCTTCTCTATACCCTTCACAGACTTGAGCATTTAGACAAATCAAAGGATCAATCTGGAGTGCTTCAGAAAGAGCTGAGAAGAGTCATCAGAAACCCACTTTTCTGGATACGCTCCTTTCATCTGACTCTGATGGGAGGAATTGGGGTTTGGCTGTGGAGTCATCCAGCAACCTTGGGACACTCTGACCCACACTGCTACATGCAGGTGTCTGTGGTCTTTGTTTTTTGAAGGGTTGTCCTTGTCACATCAAAAGGGTTGCAAGATTGGTCACCTTGTCAACACCTTGTCCTTACATGGTCCTTTGTTAGAATTCTGTTTGAGTGAAGAGACTCGTAAATGTAATAGGCAGTTGGCGCAAGGATCAGCCTAGAAGTACAAACTATAACCACTTAGGTCTTTATACACCCTCGATAATGCCTAGTATGCAAGAATAGATATTATTTAATAATTAGGATTCAACAGCCCTCAGAAAGGTAATTGGAGGCCCGTGTGAAAGTCGATGCACATTTTCCTGGCAAAATTGTCAAAATTGTACTATGGCTGCTCACTCCATTCCCTCTAGCCGACTTGAACGACTGACCTCATCATTAAATACCGATACTAGTGATGCGCTCTACCACTGAGCTAAGAGGGATGATACAAGGCGAACGAAGAGGGATAACTCGATCGCGTCAAAGGTGCCTGAAGATTCCACATTTAACATGACAAAAGTGACACAGAGGACATGCAAAGTGAGAATTACGGGAGACAGAATTAATTCGAG